TTTCCAAATTCCACCAACCCTGAATCCCTGATTGGCTGATTAATCACTACCTCATTTTGATTTTTGAAGCTTTTTATTTTTCGTTTTTTTTTATTTTTTGTTATTCTGATTTATGTGATTTGGTTTTTTTTTTCTTTTTTCTTTTTAACATATGGAATTAGGCAATTAGCAGTTCTTCATTGCTTGATCTGGAAGCGCAGAAGCGGCACTGCCATCTGCCACGGCCTTTACACTGTGAGTTGCTTGCTTACTCTATATGACTGGAGTTTTGAAATAGTATATATTGCCTTGTGAATGAGATTGTGAATCTGTGCATTGATGAATGTGTTGGATTGTTGCCCTGTGAATTGTGAATTGCTTATAGTTTTTTTTTTTCGGCATCGAAAAATTTTGACAGCACTGAATTAAAATCCTGGCTCTGCCCCTGGGTGGTAGCCTTTGCATTGGTATGGTGTAGCTGTGTTGTGGTGGGGCGGCGTAGAGTGGGAAGAAAAAGATGATAAATTTTTTCTATATTTTTGTTTTTCTAAAGTTTGGATAAAAACGTAAGTTGGACTAAGATTTGGTACCTTTTGCTCCAATTCTAGCCTTATTCACGGAGAGGGGGAAAAGCGGCTATGCGTTTTTCATTTTTTGTGCTGCAGTGATTTCGAGAGGATAAGTCATCTCCTTCATCACCAAACTTGGAAGGTAATTTCAGATTTATTTGTGTAAAAATATACATTAAATCTAATGGGTTGAGTTGATTTCGCGCTCGATTTGATTGTTGCGAATGATTTAATTTTAACACAACCTCCATTATTTGTCAATTCTCTTTCTCTAGCTCCTTGGAATTTTTTTCTTTTCCAAATTTTTTGTTTATTGATGGTAGCCTGCCTAGTAGTTGAAACATTGAGGAATCTGTGTATTTTAATGCAATATCTTAGGTTAAACCTTCACATATTTATATTCTATAATTGCAATCTGATCTCCCCTTTTAACACATTGTATTGGATCTGGATACATAAGGAAACCCACATTGAGGAATACATATTGTATATTGTCAAGTTGCCAGTGGATATCCACGAGATTTAATCATATGCATGATCTAAATTCTCAAAATACATATGAAAAAGCAATTCCCTGGAAAATCTCTCTCTTTAATTTTTTGTATAGTTGTCTATGAATTGTCCTTGCCTTTAGAACAAGCTAGCCCTCAAGTGTAAGTGGTGAAATACCCAGGACAAAATTCCAGTGGGACAGGTGATGGTTAGTATCCTTATATTGATTGGTTGTGAAGCCAATCCTTTTGTCAAACGATCTGCTAGGTTATTCTTCGACTCTACATATTCAACGGTGATTACTCCTTGTTTAAGTAATCCTCGAAGAGACTGATGTCTAAAATTGAGATGTCGTTGCTTACCATTGTAAGTCTTGTTTGCTATCGAATACAAAGTATCTTTACTATCACAATAGATCATCACAGCTGGAGATGATTAATATTAGGTTTCCGGTTGAACCATAACTCATATGGAGTTTTGTTAATCTTCTTCATAGGTATCCTATTTAGAGTATAACATGCACTTAAGATTGCTTCACCCCACCATTGATCAGGTAAACCAGAACTAATAAGCATGCAATTCACCATTTCAACTAAAGTCCTATTTTTCCTTTCTGCTACTCCGTTTGATTATGGCGAATATGGTGGAGTAAACTCGTGAACTATACCATTAGTTTCACAGAATTTTGCTAATTCTGCTACTTGGTATTCACCTCCTCTATCAGAACGTAGGACTTTAATTTTTCGGTTTAATTGATTTTCCACTACTGCTTTATAAATAAGAAATTTGCTTAAAACTTCATCTTTACTTTTTAGTAAGTATACATAAGCATATTTTGCTAATTTAAAAATTCAAAATTAATTAATTAATTTATTTATTTATTTATTTTTAAATGTGGATCCTTAATTGGTTCTGAAATTTGGAAATGTAATGTTGGTGTACAATAGAGTAATGAATATATCGTTCTGTTCAATTTTTTCCTTAGCACGGTTGATTGATTGGAGAGCACAATCCCCTCTCTCTTTGTAGCTAGTACAACTCTCTACTCCCAAACCCAACTGTTACGCGAAAAATTAATTAATATCTTACCTTTAGTTTCAGTGGTGAATTTCATAGCATTCACTGTTAGAAAAGTTTCCATTGTGTTTTTGTCATGACTGCCTTCCCTGCTACATGTTTAGTGAAATGCCTCTAAAACTTCACGTTTATGTCTGCATATTTGATCTCGAGTTAAGTTTTGAACATGGATTGTTCAAAACCTCCAAGTCATCAACAACCATCTGAACTAGTTATTTTCTTCGTTCTGATTTCTGACTAATTACTGTGTGGCCACATTCTTTACGTCACCATAGTTTATTATTAATTTTGAACTTACTAACAATGATTGACATTGGGCAACTTCTATGTTAGAAGTGGTGGTTTCGGACAGCAGATGATTTCAGAAAAAACACAATCTGCTTGGTTGGACATGGAGTTGTCTTGTTACAATAGGTTTCATACTATATGTGTGTGTTTTCATAGATAATGCACAATCCATATACATGTCATCATGGTCCAACTGTGATCATCACTCTTAACCTGATTGACTTTCTAATTTCTTAGACGATCTGGGTTCTGATTTTTTTAATAAGTAGTCACGAATGGCCAGCCTCCAGTGGCTTGTCTATAAGTCATAGGGTCCCCTTAGCCCTGCTCCTTCCTCTGGTCATGGAAAGTTGTTAGGCCAGCTCTCTCATCCCCTGCTATTTTAACTATAAAACAGCTCGAGCAGAAGTATATAATGTTTAGATGAATCTTCTGATGCCATCTTCTTAAATAACATCCATTAATTGCCAAATTAATTATTTTACAAGTGTGATTACTTATGATTAAGGTCGTAAAGAAACCATCATTTTGTTTTGTGGCTTGCCATGTACGTTCCTTTCATTGGTCGTCATAGCAATTTCATCCTCTTTTCTCTTTGTTAAGTAATTTGTTTTTCATAAACTTCCAGGATCTGAAGTCTATTAGATGCAGACCGCTAACTCCTCTGCAGAAGAAGAGATATTTCGAGTTAGGAAATTGGAGATCGCTGACAAAAACAAGGGTTTCATTGAACTACTTCAACAGCTGACTGTTTGTGATTCTGTCTCTGATGAGAGATTTCAAGAACGATTTCAGGAGCTCGCTATATATGGGGACGACCATCTTGTATGTGTAATAGAAGATGACAAATCAGGGAAGATTGTTGCCACTGGGAGTGTGTTCATCGAAAAGAAATTTATAAGGAATTGTGGCAAAGTTGGTCATATTGAAGATGTGGTGGTAGATTCCAGTGTTCGAGGCAAACAATTAGGGAAGAAGATAGTCGAGTTCCTCTCAGATCATGCTCGATTAACAGGGTGTTACAAGGTGATTCTTGATTGCAGTACCAATAACATACCATTTTATGAGAGATGTGGTTTCAAGCAAAAGGAAGTTCAGATGGTGAAGTACTTCATTTGATGAATGTTCCAACTGTTCTCATGTTTTAAAACCTCTTTAAATATGCGATTGCAATACGGATTGGTTTATACTTCCTCTCTCCATCTGATATGTTTGCTTTATTGTCATTTTTGTTTTTGATGATGTCTGTGACATTGAGTTTCACAAAGACATTCTATCCAATGAATAAAAAATGTCTCAAAATCATCGATAAGTACAAAAAATCAGTAGGACCAATGCATATAGTTTCATTTTGGGCTAATAGTATTCACTTGTCGATAACTTTGTTACAAACAATGTACGCTTAAACAAGTCGTCTGTCATTTCTCTTAAGTAAAGCATGTGAACCAGCCAATGAACTGACCAACTTAGTGATAAACAGATTGCAATACAACTTAAAATCTCCAGTGCATCACAATGTTCAAAATTTCAACTTTGAATCCATCAAGAATGGGGACTGGAATCAAGTTAGAGGTTTGAAACAAATGTTATGTCAATGAATAATGTCCAACGTTTGGATAAATTTAATGGCGAAAACTCAACATTTTAAGGTAATTCAAGACATAAATATAAATTCAGTGATTATTGGAACAATTAACTCAATTTTGCTACTGCTTTGTAGGTTGTGTCTCTTCCTTCATTTCTCCTTACATAAGCGATTATTATTGGGGCTCTATCAAATTACTGCTATTAGATTCACCATTTCCCACTTCAATTTCAATTTTTATTCATGCAATACGACTTGGCCAACTTTAAATTAGAGTAGATGCTATTCATGAGCTTGTTTGCTTATAGGCGTGTCTTGGGCTCACATCGTGTAATATACTCTTATCAGTCATGGAATTCATTTACCAATCCAAAAAGCTTCAAATCATCTTAAATAAATGGTGATAGAAAAGTAGTTGGTACTTTTCACACACATGTTGGCAATTTTGACATCTTTAACAACCTTGAGTATAGTTCAATGTGCTTAAAAGACCCTTCTTGTGCATGGGTTTCTAAGCATTATAAGTTAATCATTCAAGTGCTTATAATCAATTTCAAGTGTTCTGCATGGCTTATAAGCACTTATAGGTTCCTTCAGTGCATAGCTTATAAGCATCTAGTGCTTATAACAATTTTCAAGTGTTCTGCATTTCTTATAAGCACTTCAATTGTTTCTGTTCTGGTGCCTTAAATTATTTCTGTAACATGATCATGATGAACAATCTCTAAGATCTCATAGAAGCTATCCTAAACAAAAGTCAATTGGTCAAGGGCAAAATATCGATTTTGAAGTTTGAACCCAACAGAAGTAATGTCTACGAGTGTGCAACTTCACAATTTTTTTTCTTTCAAATAATTTCAGCTTTACGAATAAACACAATACCTAAACAAATTACATGACAAAGAGGACGCAATTTCATACTGCAAGTCATCGTTGTGAAAATCTAATATTTGTCGAACAAATTTTCTACTCCACATGTGCCAAGAACTGCAAATCTGTTGCCTCCTGCTAAGATGCAGAAGAGCAAAAAGCTCTATGAATCTTTTAAGTTTTAGACAGTTAAATAAGAAATATGAAATAAAATATCAAACATACAAATTACATTACCATCTAGCAACTATTCAAGGTAAACTTCTTCCAAGACAATTGCCTTCATTTCCATCAAGTTGAACTCCTAGATCTCATTGTACATCATCTTTTGTAATCAACACCCATTTTTTTGCTTTACCCAGTCTATTAAGCAATCTATTGTAGGTAGTAATATCCAGAAAAAACTCTCTATCCAACATCTTGTCCAACAGAACTTCCCCCTCCTTCCTTCTGCCTTCATATAACCTGAAATCAGAATCCTCTATGTCATACCATCAGGATTCAAACTTTCATTTGGAAAGAGGTTAAACTAGGCGATTCCTTATATACAATAGCATCACACCTTTCATCAAGCCGATCCTCAATCAATGTGGATGAAGCCGCTTCTAGAAGCCAAATCTCAACTTATTTGTTTCCACGACTATTCTAGAATCACACATATTATGTGGCAGACAATTAAAAGTCACACTATCTAGAACTATCTGATCTTTAAGCATCTTTTCATTAGTTTAAATATCATATTAATACTTCCTACTCAGTGGCGGACGTGGATATTTTGAATTGAGAGCACACTCAAACTTACAAAAAAGTTGTGAAAAAGCATAAAAACATTCGATATCTTTTTGTGTTGATTACAAAATGTTAATGTGAATTGGCCATATTATCGAAAAAAAATTACAGACATGTTAATGTGAATTGACCGTATTATCAAAAACATGTAAGAATAATTACAGACATGAATTGGTCATATTATCAAAAAAAATTTCAATGCAAACAGATTCCCAAAAAAAAAAAAGAAAGAAAGAAAGAAAAGACATACAGAATGAAAAATAGATTACAAACAAATTTCGATGCAAACAAGTTTTGATAGTAATAGGTAATTAAAAAATTAATTCACGCATGTGTATAATATAGAGGAAAATTTACATGTAATCAAATTAATTATGGTACACGTAACACATTATTTTAAGAGAATCGAGTTGATAACGTGTTATCAAAAGAGAAAAAACGAGAAGATAATGGAAGTCAATAAATTTTTGTGTGTTTTATTAAAAACTAAAGCCCTAAGAATAAGGAAACAACGATAATAATTTTTAAGGGTGACAATTATTATTCACTAATAAAGTAATCATTTACAACGAAAAATTAATTTTTATATATCTATTAGAAAATAGGTCTGTGGTATAATTTCCGAATTATTCCATAAGTACATAACAAAGTTTCACTGAATATTGTCAAAATCCTCTTACGAAAAGAAAAAAAAAAAAGCCAAAAAATGCCCCCACCAATCACCGGGTGTGTTCTGGCTTCTGTACATCAGGCATCTTCCATAATTTCCACCGCAGCACTTGCACAAATTTATTAAAATATAGGTACGGGCACAAATATCAAAATATGGGGAGTTTCTGAATATCACATGTAAATGTAAACCCATAGAACTCCAGGGAATTATTTGTACAAAATGCTGCGTTTATTTAGTAATGGCGAAATCGGCCACTGCATCACATGGGTGAAGGTGGCGTTGTATTGCATCAGTGTCACCCCTCAAGAGTTCGACTGCAGCGCTGCTTGTACGGATGAATTATATCATTTCTAGCCCGAGTTTTGTAAGATTGCGTCTGATGGATTACTAGAACTCGTCCAATTGCAGAAAGGGAGGGTACATCAGATTTCAGAATGTTGGAAGGTGTTTTGCACTTGTTTGCTTTTCTTTTTTAGTTTAAAATTCTATGACTCATTGGTCAAAAGCGTTTAATTGTATTTGTATGCCTGTGACATAACTCTCAATATAGAGCTTCAGTCCAGTCAATGTTTAAGCATTAAAACACAGTTCACTAATCAATCTAGACTCATTGGTCAAAATGTCATGATTTCAAGTGCTTAATTGGATGCCTATGACATACCTCTTGATATAGAACTTATGTAGAGCCTCAAATCAAGTCAAAGTTTAAGCATTAAACAACACACAGATTGTTTTCATTTTCGGGCTGCAGCCACAGCTAAACAACTTCGATCTAAGATGATGCGAACCAGGGAGCAAAGGTCTCCTAATAATCAATCCCTGTACTCTTGAGTGAAGTCTTGGAGCTTTATATCATTCTACAAGGCCATCTGATCTTGTTTTAATTTTGTAGACCCATTTACAACAAACAATAGATTTCCCATGTGGGAGTCAACCAAATCCAAGTGTGAGTCTTACTTAAGTCTTGCAATTCTTCTGTCATTGCTTGCTGCCAAATAGGATTAGTACTGACTTCACGATATGTTTTGAGATTCATGAAAGGATACTGTAGCAGAAAAACAGTGATAATCACAAACATGAGAAGACAGTTGACTTGCTCGAGTAGATTGACATGGAAGTTGAAACTCAATAGAGGAGTTAGAATCTGCATCCGAATGAGATACTTCTTGGGCAGTCACGGTATGATCTTCGGTAGAACATGTATCACAGCCGGAGAGAAAGGGGTCTATAGGAGTAGGATTTGGCAATTCTTCACTACATGATGGTGGGAGTAAGTCTGTAAATGGATCAAGAAAGAAAGTTACAATTGACAAGACACACAATCAACTTTAATGTCTGGGATGGATCTTAACATACCTCTAGAAATTAATGGACAAAATTTAGATAACGGCACATGTCCAAAACGAGAATGTTAAGTTTCAGATGACACTGAAATAGCAAAATGACTCAATATCGATAAGAAAGACGTAAAGAAGCAAGTTTGAACAGATGACCAACTTTATAGTCGGTCCCATGTATCTGCCCTGTCTGCGATTCCTGCACATGACGAGAAAAGTGTAAGCTTGGGATCCAGAAATGTCTGAGGTAGAGATAGGTTAGCGGTCGAGATCTCTCTTATATGACTAACATGAATTTTAGAGTTATTCGTAGTATGAATAGTAGGTGTGTGAGAGATAAGTGTGTGCGGTTGGAACTTAGAAGAATCAAATGTGGTTACAACAAGTCAACAACCATAATCAAAGAACCAAGATTTAGATTTACCTGGAATGACAGAGAGGGTAGGATAGGAAGTACCGGACTTATCTAGGGTTTTCTTGATAGTGTTAAGGTAAACTTTGTTGAAAAGAGCTTTAAGCATACGGAGCTCAGTACTAGTTTATGATGAATCCTACTGACATCAGTAATGACAACTGCAGTCCTTAAACGATTGGTTCTTAGGATTTGAAATTCTAACTAGCCATGTGCCTTAACCTCTTTCGACATTCATCAATATGGTTACGTGGTATATAATAGTGACAAGTGCCCTTGTGCTTTGTAGATGTAGTAGCATAACAGTGTTAGTAGAATCTGAATTCTGAATTTCTGATGAGATCTCATTGTGCTAAGGTAAGAGTTTTAATTCAGCAACCATGCGTCTCAAGTTTAGGAAATGGATCTCAATGAGCAAAGAGGCTCGAACAGAGCTAGGGTCATGAGAAAGTGAATAACTCTCAACTTATCTTTGTCGGTGGTAAATTTAGTCGTGTCAGATGTTTGATCCCACATTGGTTCAGAGTATGCTAGCTGGTTCCAAATAACATGCATCCGAGAGAGGAAATCATTTATAGGTGTCCTGGTTCTTGCTTCAAGCTATGTAGATAGCCATAGAGTTAATACTGATGTGAAATAGAGTATTGTTGAGCTTGTAAATCCACACTTCTTTAGCAGTATCAAATCGTCCAACTGAAGTTTGATAAAAGAAATATTAGTATTTCAGAACCAAGTGAGAATTTGATGGTTCTTGATATCCCATTCATCCGGTCGATCATAAAACTGGTCCTCCATTTCATTCTTACACTTAAGCGGTGAAGTAATTGTTTCAGTAATATATCACCTTAATTTGCGCCCTTTAAGAAAGCTAAACATCTCTTGAGACCATATAATGTAGTTGGTCCCATCCAAAAAGTGTCAATGGAGAGAGAGAGAGAGATCTTATTTATCCATGCAGGTGAAGAAAATAGACGATGAAATGCAAAAACATGTAAGATCAGGTGCTACACGTTACAAAACTGTACTATGCAATCAGAACTAGGGAAATCAAGGTTGGAAACAGATTCAGAACCTTTGAATACCTTAGGAACCGCTATGAACTGTCAAAGAATTGGATTGTACGAAGTCAAACAGGTCGGTTAGAGTTTGCACACGTGGTGCTAACATGGCAGACAGAATATAAACAGGTGCGTGAGGCAGTGATATTAGGTGCAGTTCAGACGAGAGGCGCATGAGGGCACTTTAAGCTTCGTGTCGGAGGATTTTGGTGGCATTAGACTCGTGCTTTGACGTAGAGTTGATATATGGCAGGAACTCAAAAAATAGACAACAAAAGTATAGTGGGGGATTTATGGTTCAGACAAGTATTGGTGATGTAACTAGGAGCCAATAGTAACCATAAAATTTTTCCCTGCAACAACTGTGGCTCTTTTACCATGTTTTAGGACAAAGAAAAAGAGATAAAACTATACCAGTGTTGAGTATTCACTACAATGAAAAGTGTCCTATATATAGGAGAATTACAACTATGTATGTGTAAAGTTACAGCTGAGGAACGATGCTACCATATTTACATAATTCTTAACAGTTTTAACAATGGAAGAGTGTATTTGATTTATTTTAACATGTATGTGTGAACGCTTACGGTGTTAATTGTGTGTTTTGAGTTTATGGTTGTTTTAGGTGGGAGGGGGGTGGGGTGGTTCCTGGGAAGAAGTTTACGTTGTTAATCACACTCTGAGAAATGCAGCAATAAATTTAAAGTCAAATATTATTTAACTGTGAAGAAATCTTGTGCTAGAGCCCTTCAACCTCAACTAATATTAGATTCAAAAAGTTATGCACGCACGCACAACTCATTAGGTTACAATGCTCTAAATGTGGCAGACCCTTCATTCATTATCTCAGTGATTTTTTCTTCCCTAACCAAATGAGAGAATTCAGCTTCTGAAGTTGAATATAAACTTTCTTCCTTGATGTAAAATAATAATTTCCTCTCAGCTCCAGCTGAAGCCATTTAAATCGAATTGCTTGCAACTTGAAGCAGGATCATTTTTGTCATCCATGTTTAGATCCAGTTCTGTTGTAAAGTAAGGTAGTTTTGTCTTCTGCTTCTCTGGTCTATGAGCATCTCGGCCTAAATATTTAGCATCTGCATCAGCTTCTCTATGTCTTTCCCCTGAACAGCTACTACTGCCATTCCATAGTCCTCTCTGAGGTCCAATGGCCATCGACAAATTTCTGGAGTTCTCTTCTGTAGCAAATGCTTTTTCTACATTGTCATTTGTTGCACAAAGAAATCTGCTGCTCACTTTCAGGTCTTCGCACAGTTTGAGTTCAGTCTTCTGCACCCTGAGTTCATTGTCAATAATCCTCGACTCTATAGGTTCTCGAAAATTCAAAGTTTTCAATCCTATTTGGTTATTGTACAATTCTTGGTCCCTGAGAGAACCTTCACAGGAGGTTAAGCAGCTGTCTGTTGAACAATCCGTTGGCTGAGTTGTTTTTATTTGCTGTAGGGACAAATCCGACACTTCTTTCATCCCTGAAAATTCAGAATTCAGGCATTGGGTAGATACTTTAGACACCAAATCTGATATCTGAACCTTGGCTGCCTCCAAATCAATTGTCCCCAAGTTCTGTGTTCCTAGGGTTTCCTCTGCTTTCTCCAATACGGACTGTAGATATTTACCTTGGGCCTCAATCCGTAGCTGTAAATGGCGCTGTACCTACACATACAGAGTAAACTCTGTTTTCAGTGCAACATAAAATTCAACATTTAATTGTTTGAAATATGAATTTTGGACTACTATTGTTTATTAGGAAAGTTTCACTTCAATAAGAGATTAAAATTGTCATCGCGATCCTACATGTGTGAAATATTTGCCTAGAATTTGGTTAAATGCATGTTTTCATGGTATATCTTCCAAAGATCTGATGACAACTTTTCTGGTTTCAGATTTCAGAGGGTTTTGAAGAGGCCACACTTTATTTTGATTCATTAGTAAAAATATGTATTCTCTTATGTTGGAATCAAAGAAATTGCAATTGCTTTACGAATGGAACTTTTTTTACCTCAAGCTGCTCATGTAGCCTTCTTTGCACTTCAATTTGCATTTGTAATGCTTCGCTCAAGGGTAAATTTCTGAATTTAAAATATTACAGTATAGCAGTGTTAATTGATTATATTATCAAATCAATAGCGTGAATCGACATAGTAAGAACATGTAACATATTTTTGCATTCTTACTTATTTGTCTGGGCTACCATGCTTGGATTACTCATGTGGGTTCTATATGTCCCGGACATTCTTTCTCCCGTGACTGTAACCATTATCAAACTTAACATACTTATTTACTGAAGAACAGGTGTAGTCTGCAAAACTATTTTCCTGGAAATTATTGGATTTCTTACCTGCTTTATTGCTCCCACTGTTAGCTTGTCCATGGAGGTTCTTGCTGAGCCTGTATTTCTGCCATGCAAATAAAAAGGTTTAGACTACTCTCTGTATTTTTACCCATGACGCACATATACATATGCAACCCACATATGCACAATGCAACACTCTTGGTTTCCTAAAATGAAATGACAATAAATTAAGGCTTATTCCAATAAATTTGAGGTGGCCACATAAATCCTTTATCTGAAGTTCATTTGATTCATTGCTATACTCTAATGCTCGGACTCTTCGAAATAGTCAGAGTATCCGTGTCAAACACGGGTATGGGTATAAAATATGTGTCAGATACTTCAAATTTCACACTTTGCCGTTTTTGCTTCTTCTCTCTTCTTTTTTTTCATTTTCCTTTTCTTTCCCCTTTTTGCTCTCTATAAACCTAATGCTACCTCCGAGAGGATGGAGAAAGCGACGGCACTAGGTTTTCTCTCCTTCTTCTTTCTTTTCTCTTTCCTTTTTCTTATTTTTTCCCCTTCCTCCCCTTTCTATATTGGTGGATTAGTGTTTTGTTTGTATAAAATGAAAATGGATTCCATATAATGCTACTTATTGTTTCATTAAGTCTAAATTGCAATTAAGTCTCTCATTTTTCTATTTTATATAACATTTAGTAATTAACTTCTCATAATTGAAAACTAAATCCAAAATTCTATTTTATTCATCTTGACCCCTTTTGAGTACTCATTTCCTTCTTTGTGAATAATTATTTTTGATCTATTCAAAATAACATCTTAAGTTAGTAAAAAAATTAAAAATTGAAAGATGTACGCACGTACTCGTGTCCGAAATTTGGACACTTTTTAGCCATGTCCCCGCATCCTACATTTTAAAAAATAAAAGATCCAACACTTAGATACGTACTCGTACCCGATACCCATACCCGAGTCCGAGCATCATAGTTGCTATGTGTGGAGCAACTAGATTTGGAGCAACTCCAACATGTAATGTTAGTTTTGGTCCACTCCTAACTTTTTTCAACGGAGATCAAGTCACTCTTATTAACGAAGTCAATATATGTCCTAATCATCTAATCGTCCTTCCCTTGTTTTATCCTAAACGGATGCTACCTTTACTTATAGGCGCATATTTTCATTTTTTAATCTTATCCAGTCTAGTATTGCCTCACATTATCTTAGCATTTTCATTTCTGCTGCACTCATCTCATGGACATCTTGTTTGTTAGCACTCGATACGTAGTACTAAACCAGATGTGATAGTTTCACATGGGTTGTTAATCTACAACCACCTTTTTCCTTTATGTAGGCTTGGGACCTTCATGAAAACACTTGAAAATGCTAATATAATATGATCTAGAAAATTCTATGTAAGCTATGAATAAAAGTTTTCCATAGTTTATTACTGCATTTTTTAGATGATATTGTTTCAGCATTATTAATGGTTTTCCTGAGTCAAAAGTAGGGATAATGATGTTTTCAAAGAACTTGACTGCTTCTTTGAAATGGTTATATAAAAACCTTAAGTTGCCCTAGAGTTGCTTAAGCTTAAATATGGTCAAACTGAAAGGCCTATTTTCTCTTGTGCAGAACTCTAGTATAGCTTTTTGGCAATAATAATTTACCTGAAGGTGACTCTTTAAGTGGTACAAGGTTAAACCTTGAATGCCCATAAGTTTCAGAACTGATTTTGGAGTAGCTTCTGCAACAAAGGAATTGTATGAATTAGCTACATACAGTAGCAGATTACTTTATTGGTGCTTCATGAACTTGATATGAGGCATGCACTTACTGTCTGCTCCACCTAGTTGATTAACTGCTTCTATGAAGCGCCGATGGAGGTCAGGAGTCCATTTTAGTCTTGGCTTTGCATCAGTCGAAAGTACGAGTCCTGAATCTCCAGTTCCATTTGCACCTTGCAGGAATAAGTGCCTTTCAGAAGGCATGGACATTCTTGACGTAGGATGCATGCTCTTTCCTTGATGGTAATAATGATACATCTCGATGTCTTCAATAAGATGATTTAGATATAAGTGAGATTCGTGCTATGCTGAAAAGATCTAATGTGCCTGTTCCAATCTGCTATCACCCTTGAATGTGAAATACAATTTTGCTATATTCTGTGTAGTGCAATCTTGCATTCCTCGTTGAAAGAAAACTATCTACAACTGCTTTTATCTATTTTTTGTTTCCTGACGAATTTTCATGTACTAAAGCTGTGCTCAGGGATGTCTTATAAGCAAATAAGGAGTGAGAGGTGGGTTGGGAAGCATAGAATCTTGAACAGGGCCAGCAGAACATCAGATCCAATTCAATCTTCACGCGACACAAAAAGAGAACTTGTCCTTCCAGTTTCACACATATGTGGGGTCCTCATGTTCAACTTCCTTTTCCATTCTCACACAACAGCAGTAGCCATTTAAATTTTCCTCTGGCCTTTGACTTATTAAAAAAACTCGACGCTTTAGATTTGATATAAGCATAGATTCACTTTAGACTTTATTTCCTCTGTATTCATATCCATCACCATGAACAGTTTAGGAACCTTATTCTCCGAATTAATGGTGAAATTTTATTCTGATGTGGATTGGAGGAATCCACTATCTATAATGTGCTGAAACCTTGAAAGCCATTTGTTCCAAGGAAGATCCTGTTGACTGGAGCATCATTACACCACACATACATGGAAAAAATGTGGGAAATTAGTGAAAATATACTTCTTCTTGGGAGAGTTTGATGGCCAGGTTTAGTTAATAAGTGCATTTCGTTTTTCATTTTCCAAATTTTTATTTGGTTTATTTACCGCTTTGGTGTGTAATGATTAAGTGATGTGCAACGCTTTGATTGTCCTCTGCATTTGATCTATTGGTTGGCTTGTAACAAGAACATATGTTAGCCATTTGAAGTGCACAAACTTGCCTCCAATTTTTCCGCGCTTATCTCTTTTCTTTTCTTTTTCCCCTTCACATACACAAACAAAAGTGGGACCACTCCTTTTCAATACAGGGTGGAGATTCTTTCTGGTAGTGATAGAATTTAAGAGGACACCTGTTGTGTGCTTCAGTTCTTTCTGCTGTTTCTCAACTTCACACTCAGTGCATGGCCACACACACCTATTTATCTTAAGAGGCATGATATGTACACTTGTGCATATTTTTGGACAAAATCTTAGCATTTATATTTTATTATTGCTTTTTAGAAAATATTTTGAGCAATGTTAAATATCTAACATGTCAAATGACCCATAAAAAGGGGAAGAATTGTTACTCCTTAGCTTTGTTTGAAGTCCTGGAATGGCATAATGAATATATTCCTTTTGTTTTCCTTCAAAAAGTATAGCACTTATTCCACGAAGTATTAAAGAGAGGGGAGATGTCCCAATCAGATTTTTAAATTCTTTAAATGGCATAAAGAAGTTGGTTCCCAATTTTTTGGGACCCTTGGAAAGGAAAATAAATAATTGTACTTGCTTCTGTGCTTTCATATGATAAAACACATGTCAAGTCAGAACCAGAAGATGAACACTTGTTTTCCCCTTGACTTGAGCTTAATTGGCCTCGAAGATACTTGGACATGAATCTACTAATTTTCCTCACTCTGCATTTTCTGATCTTTGGGGTTAATGGATTTTATTAATATGGATATACATATAACCTACATTGAGTTGCTTCTTAAATTATTGTCTTTATGAATAGAGGTCATGGATTTTATTAGCATGGATGTTTTTAGTTGCTTCTTAAATTATTGTCGTTATGGATAGGATGTCACTAGCATTTACATTACGTTGCTTAAAATCAATTTCTGAATACTAAATTAACCTATTGGTCCTACTCTTCCACGTGCATGCTTATTTTTGCCTATTGCTAGAAACTTATGAAATATGTTTATCATCCGCACATTAACTATGTTGAATTCTTCATGTCATCTTTCGTTGCACAGCCATGATAAATAAACCAAATCTATAACTATGTTGCACTATGTATCTTAATTTCGAGGCTTAAATTAAGAATTATGCTTCAATGCATGTATATACTAAAACTCAACATGATCAACCACTAAAGGGGAATAAATTCACCTCAACCAATATTCATGTTTTCAAACTCATTACTAATCCTCAACAGAGAATGACTTAACCTGGTTAATGAAAGAGACAACTATTGACTTGTAACGTATAATGATTTTATGTAAGATGACTAAGAATATATAAGACTTATCATTTCTAAATTATTTTGTGATCTGATGAAGGAAAATTCTTCTTCTCCCTTGAAAAATGTATGGGCATTAGTTCCATCTAGGTTTTGAGGAAAGATTATTTGATTCTGATACGTTTGGATATTTTATGCAGTTTGGAGGAATCTCTGGAAACCTTTATGTAAAGTGATAAAAAGCAGAATTCCTCAATAGTTTCGCTAGCGAATGAACAGGATTGATTGCAGATGGGAAATGTTATGATGCTTCTCAAGCTGAATCATCAAATGGGCAGTGATGAGACTAGCTAGTACATACATCATATTATCTGTAAGTATATTAAGGATCCAGTATTGACTTTTTAAGTTTCTCTCTCTGTTTATGTATGAACTGTGTAACAGGAGCAACGATAAATATAGAAAAACTTGCACGTATATTGCTAAAAAACTCTCTTTTTGTTTTCTTTGTTGAAACTTCTTCAAAATAAATTAGTTTTAGTTCAAGTTAAACGGTAAATATTAGTTTTACCCTAAAATGGGGAACTAAGAGATCAATAAGATGAGTATAATATTTAATTATCCACAATGGAAAACCAATTATTTAACTTTCTAAGCATTTGTCTTACTAAGGTATGAAAATCATTTGCAGCTTGAGTGTGTATGTAAGGATAATGGAAAGCACTGTCCGAGCCCATACATCCATGTGTATGCGCCTGGTCGATCCGGTGCCAGTGAGGCATTGATGCTTTACGAGCACTCAGCTCACTTGTATCCTATAAAAATCTGGACCACAACCAATCTTATTTACATTATGTTAAAGATTCGTTGATCCAACTATAATCTGATTAATAACGTGATATTTTGAGATCAGATAGCTGAAAGTGAGTGTTCCTTCAATCAAAACTTATTACAATTAAAAGGCCAAATTTGAGTTGTTGGATTGTCTAGTCAAATCATTAAATGATTAAGATTAAAATTTCAGAAAGTTACGAATGAAGTCTATATATTTCTAGAAGTTTTCCATGTTTTGACGCACCATTATGATTCTTTCATACCCCCTTTTCACTCTTTTGACATACACAAACAAAAGTGGGACCACTCCTTTTCAATACAGGGTGGAGATTCTTTCTGGTAGTGATAGAATTTAAGAGGACACCTGTTGTGTGCTTCAGTTCTTTCTGCTGTTTCTCAACTTCACACTCAGTGCATGGCCACACACACCTATTTATCTTAAGAGGCATGATATGTACACTTGTGCATATTTTTGGACAAAATCTTAGCATTTATATTTTATTATTGCTTTTTAGAAAATATTTTGAGCAGTGTTAAATATCTAACATGTCAAATGACCCATAAAAAGGGGAAGAATTGTTACTCCTTAGCTTTGTTTGAAGTCCTGGAATGGCATAATGAATATATTCCTTTTGTTTTCCTTCAAAAAGTATAGCACTTATTCCACGAAGTATTAAAGAGAGGGGAGATGTCCCAATCAGATTTTTAAATTCTTTAAATGGCATAAAGAAGTTGGTTCCCAATTTTTTGGGACCCTTGGAAAGGAAAATAAATAATTGTACTTGCTTCTGTGCTTTCATATGATAAAACACATGTCAAGTCAGAACCAGAAGATGAACACTTGTTTTCCCCTTGACTTGAGCTTAATTGGCCTCGAAGATACTTGGACATGAATCTACTAATTTTCCTCACTCTGCATTTTCTGATCTTTGGGGTTAATGGATTTTATTAATATGGATATACATATAACCTACATTGAGTTGCTTCTTAAATTATTGTCTTTATGAATAGAGGTCATGGATTTTATTAGCATGGATGTTTTTAGTTGCTTCTTAAATTATTGTCGTTATGGATAGGATGTCACTAGCATTTACATTACGTTGCTTAAAATCAATTTCTGAATACTAAATTAACCTATTGGTCCTACTCTTCCACGTGCATGCTTATTTTTGCCTATTGCTAGAAACTTATGAAATATGTTTATCATCCGCACATTAACTATGTTGAATTCTTCATGTCATCTTTCGTTGCACAGCCATGATAAATAAACCAAATCTATAACTATGTTGCACTATGTATCTTAATTTCGAGGCTTAAATTAAGAATTATGCTTCAATGCATGTATATACTAAAACTCAACATGATCAACCACTAAAGGGGAATAAATTCACCTCAACCAATATTCATGTTTTCAAACTCATTACTAATCCTCAACAGAGAATGACTTAACCCGGTTAATGAAAGAGACAACTATTGACTTGTAACGTATAATGATTTTATGTAAGATGACTAAGAATATATAAGACTTATCATTTCTAAATTATTTTGTGATCTGATGAAGGAAAATTCTTCTTCTCCCTTGAAAAATGTATGGGCATTAGTTCCATCTAGGTTTTGAGGAAAGATTATTTGATTCTGATACGTTTGGATATTTTATGCAGTTTGGAGGAATCTCTGGAAACCTTTATGTAAAGTGATAAAAAGCAGAATTCCTCAATAGTTTCGCTAGCGAATGAACAGGATTGATTGCAGATGGGAAATGTTATGATGCTTCTCAAGCTGAATCATCAAATGGGCAGTGATGAGACTAGCTAGTACATACATCATATTATCTGTAAGTATATTAAGGATCCAGTATTGACTTTTTAAGTTTCTCTCTCTGTTTATATATGAACTGTGTAACAGGAGCAACGATAAATATAGAAAAACTTGCACGTATATTGCTAAAAAACTCTCTTTTTGTTTTCTTTGTTGAAACTTCTTCAAAATAAATTAGTTTTAGTTCAAGTTAAACGGTAAATATTAGTTTTACCCTAAAATGGGGAACTAAGAGATCAATAAGATGAGTATAATATTTAATTATCCACAATGGAAAACCAATTATTTAACTTTCTAAGCATTTGTCTTACTAAGGTATTGTTTTTGTGTATCAATCTAGTATATTATTATTATTATTTTATTTTATTTTTTCTCCCCAGGCTTCACCCCTGATTCCAACTTCACACAGGAAAGCAGTTGCTTGATATATTGTTTTTCTATACATTTGCCATTAAGAAGCTCCTATATATATATATATATATATATTTTTTTTTTT